AGCAACAGCAGGGAAGAAAGGAGAGCCAGCCCTGCCAGCCCCTCTGCTGGCAGCCCATGGAGTCAATCCCAGCTCTTGGAATGACAGCTAGGAATAACAATGGTATCTAAACAAGCTGCTGAAGCGGATGGACAATGTGAAACACCACGGTGTTTACTGTCAACCAGTGAGGGTGCAGATGGACTCCAAACACCGGTGCCCAGCTCCATCCCGCAACTCTGTAGCACAGCAGCAGCTCCAACAGACACAGATTTCCTTGGAAGGCTGGGCTGCACTTTTCATCTGGGCACAAAAACTGAGTCTTTACTTCTCTAGAGCTGGCTGTGAAAGTCCAGCATCACCTTTTGCTCTCAGAGAGCATGAGAACCAAACTTGTGAAAGCTGGCCAGCTGTCCCCAGAGGGCAGCAGCCAAGGACCTGACCCAGCTGTCCCAAACCAGTCAGGCAGAGTGACATTCTGCTCAGAGCAACCAACTCTATAGTCAAAGTCGGCCTGAGCTACCACTGCCACACCAACCATGGAAAAGGGGAACATCACGTGGTAGGAGAGAGGAGATGGAAAAACTCCAAGGGTTAAGGGTTATTGCAGCTGGTAAGACAAAACTTGCCATACTGAAGATGCAACTAGAGCACCCAGGAGAGCCAGCTAGCTATGGTCTTGCAACCTGTGGAGGTTATAGAATCATAGAATGGTTAAGGTTGGAAGGGACTTTAAAGATGAGTCCCTTCCAACCTTAACCATTCTATGATTCTATAACCTCCACAGGACAAGTTTCAGGCCCTAACCACTCCAAACTGCTAAAAGAGAAATAATCTTGCAACTTCTTAGGGGATTATGAGAGAAAAGAACATGACAAGTGAATTGTGAGAGCTCCTGACTTCAGTGGTTCCACAGGACAGGTCACAGAAACTGAAACTAGAAGAGTGACTGCTCCTTGGGCACTGAAAGCCTCATCTCCCACTGTGCTGAGATAAGACCAGAAGTGTTGTGAAAACATCTGCCTCACCAGAATGTCTGATCACAGGGAATATAGACTTACTGTGCCAGCCAGGATATCATGAGGACAGCAATCCAAAAGGTGGCTCTTGCAAACACGATCGTCTGTAAACTTCACCCTTTGTCTGGTTTCATCTCCTGAAATTCATTTGTGGTTTGAAAGAAGGAGACATTAGAATGAGATTGATAAAAGGAGACGTCGATACCATCATTTTGCTTCAAAATGCAGATTAAAAGACTTGATGTTCCTGCTCCCCAATATTACTCCAAAAATAAATCAAAAAAAGCTCAAAGGATAACAGGATATTCTGGAACACTGATAATTGGCAACAAACACTATTTTAGCATTTACTCCTCCAGCACACCATGTTAAACACAGTGTTGGGTGAGCCAAGTAACATCCAAGGCCTGTCATCCATATAAAGAGACAGCAGAGCCAGAAGAGGGGAAAAAAAGGAGACAGACAATCTGGCTCCCAGCCAAAACCTTTTCATTTTCCCCCCCTCCTCCTTTTTTTACTGTCAGGAAGGGGCAAGACCTACCAAAACCCAGGTTATTGGAAGGCCACAAAGCACAAAACAGGGTTTTGCTGGCCAGTTTTTCTAGGCTATTTGCTCATCTGGCTAATTAAGACCTGGGTCCATTTGGTTTGAAACCCAAGCAGGCAGTGCTTGAGTTTCCAAGGCCGTGCAAAAGCCAGATCTTGTCAGTCTTGGCCTGGAACAGTTTGTTTCCCACCCACATCCCACCCTCAGGAGACATTTTACACTCAGGAGCCACTTAAAAAAAAACCAGACAGTATTCAGAAAAGCAACAAAAGAACAGAAAAAGAAACAAAGTTAGTCAATACTCCAACACATACTATACCCATCTGCATTCTTCAAGACCTCAGCTGCAGAATTTTATGCCCACTGTTGAAAAGTTTTTAAAGGCAAAGCTTTCTTGCCCACACCTGCAGTAAGGAAGTCAGGGGAATGATACATCAAAGTCAAGGCAAAGTGGTAATGGTGACAATTTTAAAGCCCATCTGTGTATATGACACAGGTCTGGGTAATACTAAAGTATGAATAGAGTTTAGGATTTGCAAGCATCCAGGAATAATGTTGTGTCTACTGAAAATGGCTTGTTGGTTTTGTTGGTTCTTAATTTATTTCTTTCTAAGCTACACTTTTAAAGTTACTCGTGAAAAATAAAAAAAAAACAAACACTTTTTTGTTTTGTTTTTGTTATAACAGCTTTAAAAATGGGTTTGTGACTCACGGCTCGATGAACATGAGGCTTTTCTGCAACTCCCTTGCAGATTGATGTAGGCAGGCAAAGATACACTGAACCTTTATAAATAAAATAGAGGGGCCACAATTGTTCAGTTTGTATGAAATAAAAAGATGGGAAGCAATTCAACAGCAACTCAACACACGAAATAAAAAAAAAAAAAGAGAGAGAAAGAAAAGCACTTATTCACTGAAACAAAGTGCTAAGTACCTGAATGTGCCAAGGGGGGGGGTAAGCACTGAGCGGGTGGCAGGAGGGAGAAACAAACCGCAGCGGTTTTGCACAGGTTGTCATATTTCTTGGACAACAACTAGAGCGGCCGGCTCCTGCAGGCACACACACCTACCTACCTACCTCCCTACCGACCGACCGACCGACCGACCTACCTCCCGCCTCCGCGCGGCCTGGCCACGGAGCCTGCCCCACCGCCTCTCCTCCCCGGCCCGGCCGCCTCCTAGGGCCGAGCC